GCCTCTGGCTGCAAACCCGCCGCACGGCCTCCTGGAGTGCGGTAGGTGATCATGATTCTATCTTGTTATGTGACGGCCGTTCTGTTGACATTTCATAAGCGCTGTTCTGTATGCGTTTCTTATATCGTGTGTTTATTAAGGGATACGAAGTGATTCTGACATAAAAGGCATTCAATTGTTTTTCGCCGCAACGAGTCGCTGTTTAAGGTATAGCTGCTCGGGTACGGATATGGCTGCATCACCAGAGCGAGATGAGGCTGGCGGACGGCTGTCGTGTAATTGCAGTGCGTAATGCAGCCTCTGTTTGCAGATCCGTCTCCTGCTGCCGGCGCTGCTGCAAGGCCGCAGGACTGAGCACATCATGATGCCTCACATTATGACAGCCCTCGCCGGTCCCCGGCTGGCCATGGGGGAGGCCAACGGCTGGCTCCAGAGGCAGCAACGAGCTCACGCCATGACAGCCGGGACGCTTAAATCTGCCATCCGGTGCCTGTCTCAGTTGATTACCTATGTGGCCATCGGCAGCGACAACCTGGGCCTCCAGGCGTGGCTGCCGCGCATGCCGGTAAGTGCTCTCCACAGCTGGCGTGACGATTGTGCCGGCTGTCGCACCGCCGTCACCGTTCGCTTATGACATGCAATTCCCAGGCCATGGTGGATCGGCTGGCAGCCTGGCAGCGGCCACTGCAGCGTGCTGACTGTGAGCGACGACGCCACTGTGCTGACTCGGCCGACAGGGGCTTGGAGAAGAGGAAAAAGAAGCAACGCAAGGAGAAGAAGCAGAAGCACCAGAAGAAGGAGAAGGCGGCGTTGACCCTTTACGAGCCGCAGTCGCCCCTCCCCCCAGCTCGTCTCCGTCTTCAGCCCGCCTCCCGGGCCTATGGACCGCGGTAAGTGTATCACAATTATGTCTCTTGTTTCGTGCCGCTTATTCTCCGACGACAGCTTTTGCGCACCTCTTTGTGTGTGTGTGTGTTATATCGTGTGTTCATTAGCAGGCTACACAATGATTTAAACCTTGAAGGCATTCATTTAAGCCCGCCATTCATCCTCGCTCGTTTGCGGTGCTTGGTTTTTGGTGTTTATCGTTGGAGTTCATGCCTGTCTCACTGATGTCGCATTATGTCATGTTTTCCTGTTATGTAGTTATCGGTTGTTCTTGGTTTGGGTATTTTGTTCTGTATTGACATGTTTGTTAAGCCTGCCCATGTTCCCACGGAGCCGGCTGCCGAAGAACGGCCACCGCTGCCCAGCCTGTGTCTCCCCGACGACTACTCGCCAATGGAGTACGGTAAGCATGCCTGATGATACTATTTCTTTCCATGTTTTAACCGTCTCTGGTCGCAGTACGTTGACTTACTATTGTGTGTATGCTCATTGAGGTATGTGTATTGTACGCTGTGGGTGCATTACACAAGTGGAATGTTGTCAAAAAAGAAGGGGTCGTTTGATGCGCTGCTGTTTTCGTGTTATAGTCATTTCCCTTAAAGTAGATGCTCTATGTTTTCGACGTTTATTCCGTTTTCCGGTATGCGACTAGTCAGCCTTTCATTCTGCCAAGACATCCGATGGCCGACACTTATGGCACATGTGATATGTTTTCATCTAAAGAGGTTACTGCTCATCCATTGCTGGCTGGTATGCTTTTTTTAGTTGCTTCATAAGCGTGCCTATTTGCTCACAGAGCCGGCTGCTGACGAACGGCCGCCGCCGTCCACCTGGTCGCCCCCGTGTTTGACGACTCTCCCATTGAGCACGGTAAGCGTGTTCATTGGCGTCATAAGTTCTAGTTTGTCCTAGCTGTCTATTGTAGAATTTGACAGGCAGTTGTTATTGTCATTATTTATGCATGTTTTAATTGTCCTAGCCGTCCATCGTAGAACTTGAGCTGCAGTTGTTATTGTCATGTTTATTTCCCGTTTTTGTACGAGACTACTCAGCCTTTAATTCTGCCAACAGAGGGAGCTCTGGCCGACAGCCAGACGCCACCGGCGGCGGACGCCGACCCCGACTGGGCGCCGTCGTCGTCCCCCTCGTCGGCATCGACATCACCAGCGCCAGAGGAGAAGGAGGCCTCGGAAGAGGGTGACCGGCCCGGTATGTCACCAGTTGTCCTCTCTGTATGTGGCGGCAGACTGGATGTAAATGTGCTTCTGCCGTAGCTGGCATACCCGTGTGCTTATCCGGGCCGTAGCAAACTGATCATTTTGTGTTGCAGCGTGCAAGCCGCGGCAGGGCCGGCCTCGCAGCGGCGCTGGGAAGCGCCACAGGCACCCGTGCCGCCTGCCGCCGTGCCGCGGCACCACGTAAGCCAACCTTACGCGGCACATCAGGATGGTGCACCCGCGGGTAGGCAACGGATTGCGTGCTGTGTGCGGTTGTGTTTTGTCTTCACTCGCTTGCGCGTGTTTCTGCCGTCGATGAGTCACGCATGCCCACAGCTGTGCTGTCGGCCTTATCTTTTTAGCTGTCGACTTGTGTTTCAGCTTGCCGCACGCGCGCCGGAGGAGGCAAAGCGTCTCCGAGCCGCCGAGGCTGACTGCCCTCCAGCAGCGGTCTGTCTGTGTCTGTTTGTGTTTCAGCTTGCCGCACGCGCGGTAGAGCGCGCTAAACGCCCGCGAGCCGCCGTGGCCCATTGCCCTCCGCCAGCGCCCAAGTGCACCCAGGCCCGCTGGCGCTGCCCGCTCGGTGCCACCGACGGGCGGCACCAGTGCCCGGCGGTTGTGGTGAATATATCACGACACGTTCGGGTCCACTTCCCTGCAGGCAGTCAGGAGGTAGGTACCAGCGCCATTGTTTCTGGCATTGTTTGGACTCGCGTTTCACTGCCTCAACATCGCGTGTAGTCGACTATTCGGCGTGTTTGGTGTGGCATCGTGAACCGTCCGTCCACAGTTCCAACAAGCGTACGGCAGTGCGGAGCGAGCTGACCCCACGTCATCGAGCAAGCCCGAAAAGCCGCTGGTTGGACTG